ATTGCCATGACTTGCTGGGGCAGCCACCCTGGCTCTCAGCTTCTGCAGCTGTTTTTACAGGCTGCTTGATTTTGTGGTCTTGTTTAGCTTTATAATTAGGACAAGCTTGATTTAGGAATTTGCATTTAGATACACAAGGTTACTCAGTATATCTGTGTCTCAAAACTTCACTTCCTCAGCATTTTCTTAGCCTGTCAACCAAGTTCACAACACCAAGATTTCAGTTTAGGGGGCCTGCTGCTCTGAATTATTTGCAAGCTTCCAAAAACATAAGTTTGAAGATGCTTACCTCCTAGCTATTTTACAATTCTTTATTAGTCTTTATTTAGGATGTAGCTCACTGTAGTTTCTACATTTCTGCTTGTGTTTTTTAATACCAGTGTGATCCTTTTTTCTAGTGTTAGAGGTAGTGTGAATGTTTTTAGTAGTGAAGGTGAGCCCTAGTTTGCCTGATAGTTTAGATAAATGTGTTTCTTGCATAGCACAACACTGGATCCATTTCCTGTAAGTTACAGAATCATGGAATGGTTAAGGTTGGAAGGGACCTTATAGATCACTGTGTTCCAACCTCCCTGCTATAAGCAGGGACACTTCACACCAGACCAGGCTGCACAAAGCCTCATCCAGCCTGGCCTTAAACACCTCCAGGGAGGGAGCTTCCACAGCCTCCCTAGGCAACCTATTCCATTATCTTACTACTTTCACAGATCTCTTCCTGATTCTCATCTAAATCTTTAAAAGCTTAAAACCATTACCCCTTGTCCTATCACTACGCTCTCTGGTGAAAATCCCCTTCCCAGCTTTCCTGTAACCCTTTCCTGTAACCTGGAGCCTTCTCTTCTCCAGGCTGAATAGCCCCAACTCTCTCATCCTGTCTTCATAGCAGAGGTGCTGTATCCTGCTGGTCACCTTCATGGCCCTTCTCTGGACCCTCTCCAACACCTACATGTCTTTCCTGTGCTGAGGGCTCCAGGGCTGTACACAATATTCCAGGTGTGGCCTCACCAGAGCAGAGGGGCTGAATCACCTCCCTGGCCCTGCTGGCCACACTTCTTTTGATGCAGCCGAGGATGCAATTGCTCTCTAGGCTCCAGTGCACACTGGTGGTTTGTGTTGAGCTTTTAATCAACTACCACCCCCAAATCCTTTTCCTCAAGGCTGCTCTCCAGCCATTCTCCCCCCAGCCTGTATTTGTGCCTGGGGTTACACCAACCCAGATGCAGGACCTTGCACTTGGCCTTGTTGAACTTCATGAGGTTAGCACTGCCCCTCCTCTCAAACCTGTCAAGGTCCCTCTGGATGGCATCCCTTCCCTCTTGGGTGTCAACCACACCACACAGCTTGGTATTGTCAGCAAACTTGCTGAGGATACACTCCATCCCACTGTCCATGTCTCCAACAAAGATGTTAAACAGCACTGGTCCCAGTACTGACCCCTGAGGAACACTGCTCATCACTTGCCTCCACTCGTTCACTGAACCGTTGACCACAGCTCTCTGGGTGTGGCCATCCAGCCAATTTGTTACCCAACGAGTGGTCCACCTGTCAAATCCATGACTTGTCAGTTTGCAGACCAGGATGTCCTGTGGGACAGTATCAAATGCCTTGCACAAATCCAAGTAGATGACATCAGTTGCTCTGCCACTATCCACCATCTCTGTAGCCTTGTCGTAGAAGGCCACCAGATTGGTCAGGCATGATTTCCCTTAGTGAAGCCATGTTGGCTGTCACTAATCACCTCCTTATTTTCCATGCCTTAGCAGATTTTCCAGGAGGATCTGTTCCATGATCTTGCTGGGCACAAGGAACTTTACCAGACCACCATGACCTCTCAGATATGATGAACAGAGGCTTAGCAACTGCATCCACCAGCTCCCTCAGGACCTGTGGATGGACCCCATCAGGTCCCATAAACTTGTGCACCTTCAGGTTCTCTAAAGGGTCACAAACATGTTCTTCTCCTACAGTGAGACGTCTCTTGGCCTTTGGAATTAATTAAGCTTCTGCTTCACTTAGAGGTGTTGTAAATAGCCATCATATATGAGAAATCAGGTGAGTGGTTTGTGGTCACACCTTATTTCTCAATGATGGTGTGGTTGCAGAAAATCCTGTCTGCTTTTATTAGATTAGCAGGATACTGTTGCACATAGCTGGTCTCTTGCTAAATTACCAGAAGTTTTGGCTGAGGTCACACAGACTGGGATATGTGCAAGTTTAGGCTAAAGCTTATTTGTAGAGTCACTACTGTTATCACCTGATTTTTTCAGTAAATGAAGTGATTAAAAAACACTGGTTTGTCAGAGTTAAGAAATGAGAAGGAGGCCTGCTGGGCTTCCTTTCCCATCCCTGAGGCTTTATGGGTAGATGACGACCGACTGCTGCACAGCTGTTGGTAACATGGTGGTCTAACATTCTGTCACCTGTTACGAAGCATTTGAAGTACCAATTCCAAAGACAAAACATCAGATGCACTTGTGAATGTATCATCAGGAATACTGGACGTGTTGGCAGATAATACCAGCTTTTTCAGATCCTGTAGTTGCTGACTGCAAAAAACTGACTTGATACCCATTTTTCTCTCCCTGTGGCTCCAAAGCATCTCATGGTGCTAAGGCTGAAAGTTCCATTAAGGAGTTTCAGATTTTCTCTTTTTGGATAACAAGAACCTAGTCACTGCTAGTTATCCTGGATTTAAGACATACCCTGGTTGTATTTTGTTGTCTATTACACTACATCTCATGCTTTTTTGCAGATAACACAAGGATGTGCTCTACTGTCTTCTAGTCACATCTGTTTGTTCTTAATCTTTCTTAAGATCAAGGAAGTTCCTTTTTCCATTGTTCATACAGACCAGACCACACTTGTTCTTCTTTGCACTTTGTGCTCTGACTACTAGGATGAGCTGACATAGAAGTGACTTAATGCTATTTGCATCATCATTTGGCATGGAACCATTTTATCAGGTGTCTCTACTAGTCTTTTCTGTGATGCAGTGGATCATCCCACCTATCACAGGTTCTGGGACAGAGCACAGGGTACACAGAAGTTACAGGATACCTGAACACTGGCATGAAATGTGGAGGGAGGGTTTGGTCCATGGTTGGCATCTGCAAGGGCAAGACAGTCCTAGATGTTTGCAGTGAGCAACCACAAAAGCTGCCTTCTCTGGCCATACTGGTGGGTAGTCCTTTCATATGTTTTTATACACTTTACTATCCCCCCTCTGTCCAGAAAGGGTGCTGCTTGCTTAAGAACCTAAAATGTACCATCTCTTTGCTAATTTTCTAAAGGCTTGAAAGAGTCTTTGAAGAGTGGTGGGAGGATTTACATTTTTTTTTCTATTTATACTATTAGATCTTCAGATTTTTTTCTTACTTTGTCCTCTCAGTATCCCTTTAGTGATTTCAGAAGGCTTCAAAGATAGATTGATAATAATCCTAATGAGGAGTGCTTCTTATAAAAGGGCCGGTACCAATGGAGCAAATGGGTGAGGATGGTGTTTGGGTCCTTTACTGGCATTTCATAAGGGCATGTGAGTAACAGTGAGGACAGCTGCAGATCCCACAAAACAGTTAAAAATGGCATGTGTGTAGAAGCGTGCGCCTTGGGCTTTGCCCGCCAGTCCACTTGCACGTATTAGATGTGCCTCTAATGCTGCCTTTCAATCTGTGTCCTGTAAGAACTCGAATGTGTGTGCTAAATACCAGAAAAGCTGTGTTCAAAAATAGACCATTTTTGCCCCCCCAGTGTTGAACTTGATTTTCTTCTGACGCGATCACGAGGCTGCTGCTGCAGTAGGGGCTTAATGCTATTTACGTCGTCATTTGACATAGCAACATCTCTCAGGGGATTTTTAAACAATGCAGCTGTTCAGGAGAGATGAAGAGGTTGAGGGTGGGGAGAGGGAAAAGGAGGAGAAATAATTTCATCTGCCATTAGGGCTGTTGCGGGGGGAGTGGAGGCAGCCAGCAAACCAGGGAGTTCAGTAGATTCATGATTCTGCATGAATGGACAGCAGGATCATGGGAGTTGTGGCTTTCCCTTGAATGGGAAGGAGCATTATGGGAATCTGGGTGCTTCCAGTCTTTTTTGTGAATGATTCTTTTCCTTCAGCATGGCACTGCTTTTATGAATGGCTCTGGGGGCAAAGTGCTGCAGAGTCCTTCTCAAGCTGTAGGCAGGTTCCCTAAGGAACGCCGGGGTGGGAGTCAGGTGCAGCAAAACACAGAGATGCTGCGATGCTAATTCACTGCTCTGCTCTTTTCAAGTCCAAGAGAACATTATACTGGTTTTAATTCAATGTAATTAATTTAGCTCAATGGAAGCATAATTGGGTTTTATGTGAAGTATTTTTAATACTTGATTTCACATATACATACCCAACTACATATAGGTATATTTTTCCTGTTCTGTTAAGGACGGAGATGACAGCATATCAGAACAGTTCTGGAGTGATTAGAGGTGAAGTTCCTCTCTTCTTGTTCACCCAGATGTTCCCTTTCTGATTTATGTTCAAAATACCAAACATTCAAAAACTGTATGGCACGAGAAGTGAGAATAGAAACAGAGGGCAATAAATAATTTTTTTGCTAGGTTTGAAGCAACTAATTTAGCATTTTGGCTTAAGCTGGAAAAAGCATTCTTGTCAAGCTGTACTTTAACACTGTTATGTATGTGAGTGTTCTGATTTCTGCAGTTGTTTTTTTTTTATTCTGTGCAAACCTGTATAATTTGTTTTCTTGCCATCATCGTTCTGTATGAAGAAAATATGCTGAATCATTTGAGAACTTGGGTTCTCACCAGACGTAGCTCAACGTCAAACTTTTTGTGCAAGTTGTGTTAAAATTCAAGGATTCCTACTGTAGGGGGGAGATGTCGATGTGCAGTATTAGCTATTTAAAACAGTATTTTGTAAAACCATAATAATTGATACATTCTTAATATCTGAATGGTAATTCAACTATTTAAAACTTAAAAATTTTAAAACATTTCTTTTCCAGGGGAAAAGTACAAAGTGGAAACAAAAGTCATTGTCGCGGACTTTGGAGAGAGAGAAGATACTTACAGTAGAATCAAAGCAGGATTGGAAGGCCTGGAGATTGGTGTCTTAGGTTTGTATCTGATCTAAATCTTTCATAGTGGTACTTTGTCTTGGCATGCCTACTTTTTCCCATATTGAAAGTTTATTGCAATCAATTCACAAAAGCTAGTATTTGCCTGATTGTGTCACTGCATTCTCAGTATGCTTTTTAGCTTCCCGCTGATACACGTCATGAGATGGGGCTTGCATGTGTGCCTGTGTTCTAGGAATTTTAATGCTTATTGAATGTTGTTGATACGTTGTTACTCTGTGACTGTTAAAGGTTCTTTAGCCTAAGACTCCACTCAGTGTCTTGACCTAATGCCATCTTAGAACTGAAGCATGTTCCAAATACTGAGATTCAATTTAACAGCAGAGCCCTGTGGGAGAACTGTTAACTTTTAATTATAGAGCTGTTGAAATTGAATCATTACAATGTAGCACCAAGTAACTTGCTCCTACTTCAAAAGTTTGTGTCTTCTGGTTATGTTGGTGCAGTTCTTGTTCCAGTAGCAATGCAAAAATGCCTGAGTACAGTTGGTGATACTGTGGGAGTGTAGATGATGTGGTAAGTCCTTGATAAAACAAGGTGATCCATCCAGTTACTTCGTTGAATGTACAACTGAGGTGATTTCAAGGTGTTTGTCACAAGAAGATTTTTAAGTGCAACAGCAGGTTACCCGAGTCTTTTCTGAACCGTGATGTAAAGGCAGTTTGTTATCAGTTTTCTGGTTCTTTCCTTAGAAGTGCATATCCTGTATTTCTAGGGTTGCTCAATATGGGAATGAGAACCTGTGATAGTTAAACATATGGCAGGAAGTTTTGTAAGTTGCATGGCTCAGACATCTATTGGTATATGTCACCTGATAACGTGCTTCTTACTACAAAATTCAATTTACTAACCTGAAGTGCAGTAATTGGAGCTAAAACAGTTTGGGGTTTTTTAAGCATATTTCAAAACAAATTCATTACACACATGATGTTTTACTACATGAACTTCTAATAGATAAGCCCTGTTGCAAGAAGTAGGTAAATAATGCCCAAGAAAATAGTGTATATAAAAACTCAAAAAAACCACCAACACATTAAAGGGTACAGCTCAGAATGTTCTTAATATTCCCTACAAACTTCAGTACATGCAACTGAAAACATCCAGTATTTTATTCCTATAAAAGTTCAAATCTGTTGAAGTAATAGCAGTTGTGAACAGTGTGTTTTGTGTAAAGAGTAGTTGTAACAAAGCTGTGGGTGCCTTGTTTCTTGTTTCTGAAGAAGATAAGTTCCAAAGAAACTTTGAAGATTAAAATCAATGTCTATTCTAATACGTCCTGTCAAAATCAGCTCAGGAAATGTAAGACTTGTAAGCTGTCTCTCAGGTAGTAATTGCTGCAGAATAGTGTATTACTTAAATGTCTCAAAACACCAGCAAACCTTTTACCATGTGTGAAATGTCCACAGAGGAAGGGTTTTTATTATTTTTTAGGCTGTGATAAGGTTATGGTGATGCACAAAATCATGACAATCTGACACTAGTCTTGCTCAAAGTGGTCAGCAAAGCAGTGAATCCATCTCAAATGTTGTGTATGCTCATTACAGGAAAACAAGCACGTTCCTCAAACAGAGCCTGATTCTTGCTTTTTGCCTGAGCACCTTGACTAAACACATGGTAAAAATAGCAACTAAATGCTCTAGAGCTGTGTATTCTCTAGCTGAGTTCCTCTGCTTTTTTCCTTGCAGCCATTGCCAGTGCAGTTTTACAGAAATCTCTTCTAACTAATCACCAGTGTTTTTAGCAGATCTCATGCTTGGGCTCATCAGATTACACGATACGTAGTTTTTTCATTTCTTCAGATATAGTTGTATTAATAGAAACTGCTTGCAGGTGTATGATGGCTACTCCAGAAAGACTGTATTCTAGTTTTTTTACGGCAATTAATTTCATGCTTTAATGCCTTATATTTTTAATTTTGTAGCTTTTATTGCAATCCAGAATGTAGCTTTTGCTGATCTGCATTTTTCATGGTTTTGTAAGGGCAAGCATGGATTTAAATGAGGACAGTCAGGAGGGCTCCAGTATTTCTGCTTCTTTGAGGTCTCGTCTGGAGCAGTAGGTATGAGAGGTGTTGGCAGCACAGCACAGTTGCAAGTGATCAGTGCTGATTATTTTGAGCCTTATCTTAGAGACATGGGACTCTCCATATATTTTAGATTGATGACATAGTTGCACAGGGTCTAACTAAAGTACTCAAAGACAGAAATCTCGGTAAACTTTGTATTTGGAAGCTTCTTCTCACCCACATATGAAGGCTAAAAGAGTTTGCATAATGTTTTGCTGTGTGTTCAAAACAGCGTCTGTCAGTGAGTTGGAACATGTGCTAGCTGCAGCAATAAACTAAACAAGCAGAGGTGGGAAATCTCCCTGGTGCTGTTCTCCCATCGCTGGGTTTCTCCAAAGCAGTTTGAGGTGGACTGTCTCTGTAGCATGAATCGTATAAATGGTCTAAATTTGGAGAGAATAACCAAGGTTAGTCCCCAAACCCTGCCATAGTTGATAGCCAAAATCCTTTCCAGAGAGATGGACTGAAAAGCAGTTTATTTTAGGGTGAAAAGAAGGGAAAAAAGCTGGGTCACGCTGACAATACCAAGAATTGGCCTTTTTTGCCCATTTAAAACTTTCCCCTCTTTCTAAATATAGCAAATGTCTGCTAGGAATTTTCCAACTCCCTGTTCCCCTCAATTCCTGTATTTTTAAAGGTTATCTAAGTTGAAAATTTGAATAGCACAACATGACTAATGAACTAAGGGTTTCTGTAAATACACAAAGATCAGGACTAAAAGAGCTGTCACCCGAGAGAATCTCTGCATGGAGCTTGTGCACTGGGCCAGAATCTCTCCTGGGTGTTTCTTGCGTCTCCTGCATCCCGATCCATCCTTACACGTATTTCAGGTTGGATGGTAAAATACAGCTTCTGGCACGTGTGTGGGTGCTACTGTGCTTTTAGTTTAAAGAAGGTACCAGTGTCTTTTGAGAGTGTTTCTTAAGGCTGTGCAGACTCCTGCCCTGGAGTGCCGTTGGGCACACACAGCACTTGGGGATTCTCTGGGGTGTAAGACCCTATAGCGATGGGAAACGTTGCCACAGCAACCAAATGTCACACGATTCAGTTGCGTAAGATGAACACCAGATACTTAGGGAAACGGAGATCCCATTTGCTTACTTTTTTTTTTTTTGGTCTCCATATCAATGTGCTTTATTAGGTTTGAGGCAGCTGAGGTGTGACTTTCTGGTGATGTTAGAAGTTTTTCCCCCTGCTTGTGTTGGGATTCCAGAGTCGTACCGGTATCATGTCTGAGGATAAAACGCTGGCTGCCTGAAGTGCTGAAGCGAATAGGTTTCAGTAAAACTTACTCTCAAGGAATTCCAAACGCTGCCAGCAGGGAGGATTGTGCCGGTGTGGGGGTGACGGGGGGAGCAGCTTGCTGGGGTGCATCTCCGTGTAACGACTCCCTGACAACCCAGCGAAAGCAGCAGCTCTTTTTTTAAAGCGGAAATCCTTTGCAAAGGCAGACGATCTCCGTCGGAAACACCGGCTGCTGGGTGCGGGGGCTCGGCCCGGCAGCGCTGCCTCCCCGCGCCCGGGCTCCTGCTGCCCCCTGCTGCCCGCACCGCACCCCGCACCGCCCTGCCCCGCACCGCCCTGCCCCGCTCCCCGCACCGCCCTGCCCCGCTCCCCGCACCGCCCTGCCCCGCTCCCCGCACCGCCCTGCCCCGCTCCCCGCACCGCCCTGCCCCGCTCCCCGCACCGCCCTGCCCCGCTCCCCGCACCGCCCTGCCCCGCTCCCCGCACCGCCCTGCCCCGCTCCCCGCACCGCCCTGCCCCGCTCCCCGCACCGCCCTGCCCCGCTCCCCGCACCGCCCTGCCCCGCTCCCCGCACCGCCCTGCCCCGCTCCCCGCACCGCCCTGCCCCGCTCCCCGCACCGCCCTGCCCCGCTCCCCGCACCGCCCTGCCCCGCTCCCCGCACCGCCCTGCCCCGCTCCCCGCACCGCCCTGCCCCGCTCCCCGCACCGCCCTGCCCCGCTCCCCGCACCGCCCTGCCCCGCTCCCCGCACCGCCCTGCCCCGCTCCCCGCACCGCCCTGCCCCGCTCCCCGCACCGCCCTGCCCCGCTCCCCGCACCGCCCTGCCCCGCTCCCCGCACCGCCCTGCCCCGCTCCCCGCACCGCCCTGCCCCGCTCCCCGCACCGCCCTGCCCCGCTCCCCGCACCGCCCTGCCCCGCTCCCCGCACCGCCCTGCCCCGCTCCCCGCACCGCCCTGCCCCGCTCCCCGCACCGCCCTGCCCCGCTCCCCGCACCGCCCTGCCCCGCTCCCCGCACCGCCCTGCCCCGCTCCCCGCACCGCCCTGCCCCGCTCCCCGCACCGCCCTGCCCCGCTCCCCGCACCGCCCTGCCCCGCTCCCCGCACCGCCCTGCCCCGCTCCCCGCACCGCCCTGCCCCGCTCCCCGCACCGCCCTGCCCCGCTCCCCGCACCGCCCTGCCCCGCTCCCCGCACCGCCCTGCCCCGCTCCCCGCACCGCCCTGCCCCGCTCCCCGCACCGCCCTGCCCCGCTCCCCGCACCGCCCTGCCCCGCTCCCCGCACCGCCCTGCCCCGCTCCCCGCACCGCCCTGCCCCGCTCCCCGCACCGCCCTGCCCCGCTCCCCGCACCGCCCTGCCCCGCTCCCCGCACCGCCCTGCCCCGCTCCCCGCACCGCCCTGCCCCGCACCGCCCTGCTCCCCGCCCCGCCCTGCCCCGCCCCGCGCCCCTGCAGCGGTCACCGACCCGTGGCCCTCCGGGGACGGGGGCACTGGCTGAAGAAGCCCTGGGGAAACGTGCCAGAAGATGTATTTTTTTCCTACCTTATTTCACTTCACGTTTATTTGCTTATACATGCAAAAAATGACAGGGTTTCACCTCGAGGTCTCGCCAGGCACCGAGAGCTTTTCTTTGGCTTGAGACCCCATCTCTGCGGTTCTAGAAGAGGAAAAACCTTCTGCCCCTGCGCTTTGAAAAGTGGTGGGAAATGGGTGTGATGTGCTAAATAGGCCGGCTTGAAAACAGCTGGACAAACAGCCTCTACACATTTAGAATGGCTCATGTATTCACTGCCACGTGCCACTTGCATCTGCAAGGAAACTTGGCTGAAGGGGTTGGAATGTTTTAAACGCAACGTTTTTAAAATATTGCTTGAAAATTGTCATTAACCGAAGTCATCCGCGCAATCTGATTACAACTCCGTGCTTTCGTTTCAGTGAACAATGTGGGAATATCATATCCTCATCCTGAGTATTTCCTTGATGTTCCGGAACTGGATAAAGTAAGTGCTTTTGTTGTACCTTCTGGCACTCTCAGTTTTAGCATCACATGTTGAATGGATATGGCAAAAGTATTTAGGTTTCTAAGGTACTCACATAACAAAAGCTAAGATTTTTACATCAGCAACATGACACAACTCAGATTGTGGTAGTCTTGGGTGTTTTTGTTGGTGGTTTTTTTGTTTTGGTTGGGTTTTTTTGTTAGTTTGTTTATTTTACTTTTTTTTTTCCCCCTGTTTCTTCATCTTCTATTTCAGACAGATGCCATGGGGTCAGTAGCTGAATTCTGCTCCTGTCTGTGGTCTCATCTGGCTGTTGTTCATGAGCTGCTTTAGCTTATGGGGGGATTTTTAAATGACTGAGGGGATGGGGAGCAAGCAACTTCATGAATGAAAGCTGCATATTCCATAACACTATTCTGAAACAAGTGTGACTCTTTTAGACAGTTCATAAGGTGGTGACAATCTTGGTTGCCTTGGTTACATTGAAAACTCTGATTCTGGACACTTGTGCAAGATTTTGTTTCCCAAACACCTGTAGCTTACTGAATCCACTGCTTTTGTGCTTTCTGCTTAAGTATTGATGGGTTTTGATTCACCTTCAAATAAGCTTCAAAATATTTAGCCAAAAATTATTATTTTTATTTTTTTTTAACTTAATGAATAAGCTTTAAGTTGCTAAAACACATTATGGAATGATGAAGAGCAAAATACAGGCATTAATTTATGAACATGCCTAAAATATCGTAATTTATTGTTCATAAATATTGGAAAGAGCGTTAGGAAATAATGTAGTTGTGATACATCTGTTGTTCTTTATTGATATGAATCCTTAATCAGAGATAAAACTTGACCAAGAGCAATTCACTGACTTTTCTTTGAAAGTCTGTCACTGCTCCAGATATGTAAGTAGGAAGGCAAGGAGTAAAAGGGGAAAGTAGAAGTGCAAGGTGTCATTCATCCTCACACATAAACGAGGGCGTGCATAAATATTGATGAAATAACTTAGAACAAACCCCAAAACTTTGTTTTCTTTCAGACAATCGACAAAATGATCAACGTTAACATCATGTCTGTTTGTAAGGTAAGTAGCCTCTTACCAACAGTTGTGCTTGATGTCTCAGTTAAAAACCAGTCAACAATTAAAATTCAGTTCTCTGAAGCAAATACTTTGACCTGTTGGACCACAGGTTCCTTTTTCATCTTAGAATAACCCAGAGGTTATGATTGTTGTATCAGAGTGTTACAGTACTTGTGTGAAACATAATTTGTTGCCAAGAGACTTTGAAGAGCAAGGTGTGTACACAAAACCCACTTCTTGCTGGTAAATATGTGAGCGAGAAGGGAAACTAAGTTCACAGAAGTGTGTGTTAACTTTTCAAGTGATTACTTTCCCTCTTTGGTATTTAAACTGAAGTTCTTATTCAGAAGAAATCAACTTGACAGCAGGCCAGGACATACTCCTGTTCCCTTGTTTATTTAACATAAAGCCCATTGAAAAAATCAGAATTTTGTCCTAGTGTTTCAAAGCTTGAAAGGGGCACAGGGAATGGCAGCTGCTTACATGACACAGGGAGTCAATTAGTGTATTATCAGTGAGTGTGGAAGAAACTCCTTATTCACTGCTAAACCCTAACTTTCTCATGCATAACAAAACTTGCATTTCCATTAACTGAGGGTTAACCTTTTTCTACAAAACCAAAATATTAGGTGTTTCAAAGCTGGCTGGAATTACTTCAATTTCTTGCAGCTCTTCTGCTTAGATTAAGTACTAAATTCATCTAATATGGTGTTCTTAGGGAGTCTAAGCTGTAGTTGTGTTGTTTCCATGTGAGGAGGCACAGGAACAATTTAAAACAATTATTCTGTAAGATTTTCACACCTTAGTGAAACATGCAACCCTTGCATGACCAAATGGAGTTGTTAATGTCAGTTTAGCGCTGCTAAATCTCACTTTTTTGTGTTTTATTGAATATCTAAAACCTGCTTGTTTGCAACTACTTGTTACGTAGTTAAAAATGCTGCAGCAGAGAGACTTCAGAAACTTTTCACTTTTTGAAAATGACTTTTAGCCTGAGGAACACAGATTTTTAGTTGCCTTAGGAGGATTGTTGCCCATGGTGCCTTGTCGAACTCCTGCAAGATTTTCATCAGAGGACTGAGTTATTAATGGGCAACTTTGAGAGTTTCTCCTATGGAAGTAATTTATAATATGTTTTAAAATGTTAACAGAGCTACATCAGGTGTAAATAGGATGTGCTGTTGTGCATAGACCTCTTAGCTAGATCCTAGTGTCACCAGGATTCCTCTGCTGAGGTGTGACATCTGTGCTGTGCCAGCAGAGGGAGCGCACTGTTCAGTGATGAAAGAACTGGGGTGTCGGTCTTCCTGAAACAGTTTTGCTAGAATAGAAAAGTTACAGATGAACTATTTTAATACATATTTTTTGAAGATGGGAGAGTAGAATAATAGTTAAGGTCTGCTTTAACTCAGTATGCACTGAAAATTCCAGAGATTCAGCCAGATGATGTTCGTTTCCAGAATGAACTAGCACTGTTTTGTGGCTTGAGTCATTGTGTTAATGATTGATGAGCATCAACAATTTAATAAAATTGTCATATAGTTTCTTGTCGAATTTGCATCCTGTCAGTCTCTTCACATTCTAGCATGGTTGTCTTCATGTGTATCAAAATTTAGTGAAGATCTACTTGCTGTGTGCTAGTAGTTGTTTTCCTTCTGTTTGTAAACTTTATTTGTTGACCATGAACAACTCCTGCTGCTGGGTATAATCAGAGTTTGAGCATAAGCTTCCAGGCTTGAAAATGTTTCCTCTTGCATGAGTCTGTTGTGTAATTAAACAGTAGGCATGCCAGATGCTTACTGTTTAGGGTAGAGGAATACGTTAGAGATATGTACCATCTGTGAGTCATTTTTTTCAGGAGAACCCACAGAACTAGAGAATCATGGTAGGAAAAAATAAATTTGGGAGAAGTCTTTTTTGTCCTCTCACTTAGATTTCTGGGTTGTAATCTGTGAGTATTTAGTTCAGTGACATTGAATAAAATATCAGGTCAAAAGTTCTGTTTTTTCCCACTAGGCAACAGGTGTTGAAGAGCCAAAATTATAGTAGCTTTGTATATTTTTCTGCATCTTCAAATTACCTTTGTATCCTACAGCCTTTGATTTTACCTGGAAAAACAATTTAACTTGATTTGGGTGTTGGATTAATGTCCTGAAAGCCAATGATGCTAGACTTGCTGTCCAGTGGAAAAAAATGGGTAGGTAATGAGCATGAAGAATAGTTTCAAATACTTCTGGGAACCCTTCTTTCTCTTTTGGTAGCTGCAAGAGATGCTTTGTATGTGAGGAATGGCAAGTATGTTATTTCTGTTTGCAGCATCACGGTATTCTAATTGCATTGGGAGTGAGGCATAAGCTTGTGTTCACTTGAAAAATGAGTAGGACTAAATAGTTGAGGGAGTGCTCACTTAGCGGTTGATTAAGCAGGGAGCTGAATTGGTTTGCAAGCTATTATGTTGTGGGGGAATGTAAATTTTAGGCTTGCAGGCCAGGTTTCAGTTGGAAATTGGCATTAACAGAGGAAGTGGGAGAGTAAATTACATGTATGTACGTGCCTTGGTTTCTGTGTTTATCTTCACCTTGATCATCTTAATGTTTCATACTGAGTGTAAAATACAAAGGGATAATAGGCCTGCAAGATCAAGGATTTTAATCATCGCTGTATTTGAGCAGCTTACAGTTTACTTTAGACTTCAAAATACAGAAATATTTGAAGTGAGACATCACACTCTCTGCTGAATAAAACACTGGATGGACCAGGCCCATAGAGTGGTGGTGAATGAAGCTAAATCCAGCTGGCAGGTGGTCACAAGTGGAGTTCCTCAGGGCTCAGTGTTGGGATCACTTCTGTTTAGCATCTTTAGTAATTACCACAATGAGGAGATAAAATGCACCCTCAGTAAGTTTGCAGATAACACCAAGTAGGGTGGGAGTGTTGATCTGCTTGAGGGTAGGGAGGCTCTACATAGAGACTTGGACAGACTGGATCAATGGGCTGAGGCAAATTGTATGGGCTTCAGCAAGGCCAAGTTCCAGGTCCTGCACTTGGGTCACAACAACTCCATGCAAAGCTGCAGGCTGGGGGAAGAGTGACTGGAAAGCTGCTCAGTGGAAAGGAACCTCAAGGTGCTGATCAAGAAGCAGCTGAACATGAGCCAGCAGTGTGCCCAGGTGGCCAAGAAGGCCGACAGCATCCTGGCCTGCATCAGGAACAGTGTTGCAAGCAGGTCTAGGGAAGTGATCCTCCCCGTGTACTCAGCACTGGTGAGGCCCCAGTACTGTGTTCAGTTTTGGGCACCTCAGTGCAAGAAAGACAATGAGGTGCTGGAGCAGGTGCAGAGAAGAGCAACCAGGCTGATGAAAGGCTTTGAGAACAAGCCTTATGAAGATCAGCTGAGGGAACTGGGGCTATTTAGTCTAAAAAAAAGTAGGTTGAGGGGGGAGACCTTATTGCTCTCTACAACTACCTGAAAGGACATCAGTGCTGGTCTCTTCTCACAAGCAAATAGTGATAGGACAAGAGGGAATGGCCTAAAGCTACATTAGAGAAGGTTTAGGCTGGACGTGAGGAATTTTTTTTTCTCTGAAAGTGTTGTCAGACATTGGAACAGGCTGCCCAGGGAGGTGGTTGACTTGGGTTTAGAAGTTGTGTAGATGTTGGTGCTTGGGGATATGGTTTAGAGGTAAATGTGGTAGAGTAGGGTTAAAGGTTGGACTTGGTTATTGTAAAGGTCTTTTCCAATGAATCTGTGATCTGGTGTCAGCTGCTCTCATAATGGAAGAGGAGCGAGAGGTTAATTATACCAGGTTGTGAATCCCAGACAGGACAAGAGGGAACACTTTACCTACAGATTCTGAAACTATGAGTTGAGGAAATAAAATCCCCACAACAAAACCCACAACTGATGTAAAATTGAAAGGGGGAGAGGAACTCTTTTGCAGAGCTGTATGTAGAACAAAGAAAAGCCTTGGGGAGCAATAATCCTGAAAGACAGCAGGAAATTACATCTCTCTCCCATGACTGTTTGGATGGGCTAATGCATGCAGCCTTATACCATGTCTGTAAAGGGACCTTACCAGGAATTAGAAAAAAGTTGCTTGTGTCCTGCTTAGAACTATGTGAATTTTTGTATTTTCTGTGTATTGGAGAGGATCACAGTGAAGTGAAACATAATTCTGAGGAAAGTGGCAACACTGACTTCTGAGAAGAGATTATTCTCTCTGTGTATTCCAGTCCAGTCAAGAGGTTTCTTTACATTTTTATTCAAAGCCATAATCAAAGGGGGAATGACCATTTAGTCAAGTACACAATAGAAGCTTATAACAGAGGAATAGTTGCCAACACTTGGAAGAGGAGCAAGTATTCTATAAAGGTGGTCATGAATATAAGAGATGGACCAAAGGGAGAAATTAAGATGCTGTGGTTTCCCACCATGCTGACTTTGAACCTGAGAGCATGATACGTGGGAAGCTGGAAGAAGGGAAATGTAGCTGTGATAAATACTTTTCAGTGATAGCATGGGAAGCACTTGAGATTTTTCTTCAAAGTACAAGTAACTTGGGGAAATTCAGGAAATCTTGGGAGTCCTGTAGATTTTTCTAGATTTGAAGTTGAGACAAATAGATTGTCGTGGTTTGAGTCTTAACACAACAACAAAGAAACAGCCACATGGCCACTAACTCAACTCCCCCACACACACACACACTGGGATGGGGAAGACGAAGCCCAACTAGAAGCTCATGGGTTGAGACAAAGGACAAGGAGGGTTCTTCACCAATTAAGGTCCCAGGCAAAACAGACTCAACTTGGGGAAAAAGTAATTTAATTTCACACTAACCAAACACACACAGGACAGACAACACACAGAGCAGGGCTTGCAGATGTTA